CAGGATGCGGGCTGCCCCGCATCACCTGGGTGCCCTCCTCGGCACACATCTGGTTCGTATTCTATGCACGGGGCTTTAGCAGAAACACGCGGCTTCTCCCCAGGCACCAGCGGTGGGTGCTCGGCCCCTTCCCCGGGTGGAGGGTGCCTCCGTGCCCCTTCCCCGCCCCCCCCGGCTGGGAGCTGCCTGGCCGAGGCAAACCTGGGGGCTGTGCGGGGCCGTTTCCCAGTCCTGCCTTCACCGTCTGACTTTTGCCTGTCAGCATGTGAGAGGAGTTTTATTGGCCTCTTTGATGTTGTGGAGACCAGAACTGTACAGACTTTCATTAAAACCCTGCCCTGTGGACCCTGGGATTATGAATATTAGAACATTGCCCTTTTATGTGAACACGTATTGACCAGCGAACTCTGAATAGTGTTTTTACTAACGACACCCAAGTGCCCATTACAGCCCCTGCCTGTATTGCTTGAGGTTTACTGTCAGCAGCTCTTCGGGAAAGGTATAAAACCCCTTTCAGAAACGTTCTGCCGCTCCATGCAGCGTGTGCGCGTATGTTAAAAGGTTGCTAAGCTGCCTGTGAAAGCTCATGAAGGCAATTATCCATTTTAAAAAAAAAAAAAAAGCTAATTAGGCAATTTCTCTCTGTATTTGAAAGCACCCTAGAGGGTCTCATGGGGCGGATTAAGATTTTGTAATATTTTTCAGCTCCTTACTTGATCATCGCTGCTTCGTTTTCTTTCTCTGGCGTTGTGCAATATCGGGTAACAAAGACCTGATTCACGCTCCTTATGCAAGAGCACCCTTTCCCCGGCGCTCCGGGGAGCCTGTGTGCTGGGGACCCTTCTCCGTCCATCCCACGTGCCCTCCTGGATGTGGTGGTCTGTGTTTTGTGGACTTGGGCGAACCTTGGGTCTGCGTTTGGCTTCTCCGCTGGCTGCTGGCGTGCAGCAGGGTGTGATGCCGAGGGCTTCTCCGTCCCTGCACCGCATCCGTGCGTTTGCCCCCAAAAAAGAGACCTGCCTGGCTGCAGGCTGCGTCCCTTCCGGCATTATTAGCCAGAGCAGCCCCGAACATGTGTGAAACGTGGATTATGCACAGCTCCTAATAGCTGGAGGAACAGCTTGACTCTGCTGCAGCTCTCCCTGGTGCTTTGTGCGAGCGAGCTTTTAATAGTGCCTGTGACACAGAAAAGGAACTATCAGCCTCTTGTAATTTGGGTTCGTTTTTACTGCTGGTGCGTCAGGAGACAACTGTGAACTAATTTCAGTGATGCCATTCGATAACCTTGTGAAATCTGTAACCGTTTCAGGGGGAGGGGGGGTCCTGCAGGCGCCGCTGGGGCGGGGGGACTGCGTGGGGCCCCCCGGGCAGGGCTTGTCCCTGCCCTGCTCAGGGATGCAGGGCTGCTCGGCACGTTTCGGGGCAGTGGTTTACCCCCATCCCTTTGCCCCGCTTGTTCTTCTTCGTTTTCCTTAGCCCGAGCTCGTGGATCTTGCTCCATTTCATTGCACTGAAGCAATTTAAGTGAGTCTGGAGCTGGACCGGCCCGAG